TAATCATTATAGTAAAATTCCGGAAACGATGCTTAACAGAAGATGGTGGTAGGAACCTCTAGGAAACTCTAAATATAAAGGAAATTGACATTTCCCTTTTCTATTGTAGTTTTAGCCATAACTATAGCTTTACATTTTATTGGTTCATCTCTCACTCATAATGATAATATATTGGTCCGGAAATAATTTCTCAAAATTTTAGAAACCTTTTTATACTTCTCAATTTCTATTCAAAGGCAAGCCAGTTGACTTTTCACAATCCTGCAAATAATGTTTTATTTTGATCAAATTTGTGTCCCCTTACTGTTTCAATATATTGAATTTTTGTGATTTCATTTTAATAAAATAATATATTACGAAACTATATTTTTCATAGGACACGTTTACATTCAATCAATACATTTCAATCATTCAAGTCCTAAAGAACTAGTGTTGTCAGTCTTACGAAGTTAGTTTCTCAGAATATTTTTTCTACTTTGAGTGTTTTTATATGACTTACTTTTGGAAAATATTCCATAAATACGTTTTCATTTTGTTTGAAGTGTTATGTTAACTATCAAATGACACCTTTCAGATTTCATAATATTGACTGCTCATTGTGAAACCCAAATAATGACGTCATTTCCGTTTTATAATAGATATTTATTTTATTAGGAGTATAAGTAATACTTATGTGACGCGCATGGAAGTTTGAACGCCGAGCGCCGCGAGACGAATCAAATCCATGCAAGTCACATGAAGAATACTTATACTCCGAATAAAATCAATTTTTTTATTTTCAAACGATCTTTATTCCAAATAGTGCATAATTTTCAATTTCAATTATGACATTCACATTTAGAAGGATCACCTTTATAAGCACATATACCTGTATGTACAGGTGAACTACCTGAAATCGGTATAGAAAAAATATGAAACGGCGTGTAAATATTATACTTCGGCGCAGTATAATACTTATACGCCGCTCAAGCTGAAAGTCATTGAAGTAAGTCCTATACCTTGTCAAAATGATCACAAAAATTACTGTTACATGACGTTTGAAAATAAATTTGTTTTTTACCGAAATAAAGCAAAGTGGAATAGTATGTATAGGGAATTCCAATAAGAGGTTTCGAATGTTTTATTTTCCTACTCTTCTTGTCTCAAACTTTGTTTATATTATTCGGTTTTTATTTCATTGTGGAATTCAGTACAATTTCAGCAATGGAGCGCTACACGGTAGAACAACGTGTTTACATTGTTAAAACGTATTTTTTAAATGGTTCTTCTGAGAGAGTCACGTTTCGGCAAATTTGTGAATACTTAACGTGTACGCAATCGTCCGTCAGAAGTAACCATTCGTAAAGCGTAGATTCAAAACTACCGGATCTGTGCAAGATATCCAAACAAAAGTCCAGGAACGTCCTGCTCGTTCGATTGAAAATATTTAGGCGGTTCGTGATAGTATGGCTCAAAATCCACAAATGTCTGTTGAAAGGCGCGCGCAATATATGGGTATCAGCAAAACTTCAACATGGCGAATTTTGAAAAAAGATTTAAGGCTACGTCCTTACAGAATTCAACTAGCACAGGAGCTAAAACCAGCCGATCATGAGCGACGCCGTGCATTTACCAATTATAGTGGAAAACTTCATCAAAAGAATTGTGTGCTGCCAGAGAAGTCGTGGTGGTCATTTGGCAGATATTGTATTCCACGATTAATTGTACACTGTCCAGCTACGCACTGCCATAAATAACTTTTAGGTATGTTATGAAACTTTTATTCGTTACCAACATTCGAAACCTCTTATTGGAATACCCTATATATTACCGAAAAAGTTTCATAAGTCGCAATTTGATATAAAATGTCTTGTGAAACATGTTATTTGCACTATTTTTTCTGTTTTAAGTCGTAAATAAATACCTAGGTTGAGCTCAACATAAAATTTGACGTCTCTAATACATTCGATCAACGTTGTTATAAGATTGAGACCAACTTAAAAAACGACGTTATTTCAACGGTCACATTCAACGTTGTCTCAATTAGGACATTGTGCCGTTCTGTCAACGTACATTCAACTGTTGTTACAACGTAATGCAACGTTGGGAAGTATCGTACATTCAATGTTGTATCGACCAAACCTTGCTACATGGGAGGTTCCTCAGTTGCTGGACGACCGACGGCCTTTTTTGCTTCCTCTTGTTATTCCTACTTTTGTTCTATTAAAAGCTGTAGAATGAACTTTAATGGTGGACTTTTGTCCAGCACGAACTTCCCGCAGTACACAAAAAACTTGCCCAAGCTGTGCTTGTCCGCACCTGCTTTAATCGTCTGAAAAATGTTTGAATAGTTGAACAAGAAGTGCCAAATTCGCTATTTTAAGAAAGCATTAGATCAACTACATTCTGAAAGTTGATGGAATCCTCAGCACTTGTGGCCATCTCAGTTATATCTGATAGTTTTTCTACTTCTTCATTATTATGGCGTTCGTGAACCCTAAATTAGTTGCAATGCCACAGGTCGTGGTCATCATAAAATAATAACGGCTGCACATTATCACCAAACGATAGCTTGGCCATAGAAAGATGTGCTTCTGAAGAAGCTGCAGGCAAGTTGGTACCTACAAGACCATTCGTAAAAATTTTAAACAGCTGTTTGATGCCTGCAGAACCTTCCTAGTCTACCATCTTCGCAACTGCAAAAGCCTGCTTGGATATTCATCTACATCATAATTTGTTCCATTATTTTTTATGCTTTGAACAGCATAAACAACGATTTTTTTTAATATCTTTTTTTCTGTAGATAACTAATTTTTTTAAATGTTTATTCAGAAATAAACGATTAGAACTTTCTCGGTTGGTGATAAAATTCCACAGGCGACGCAAGTAATACAAATATTTCAACACGAGATAATATGGCCCATTTCAAGTTAAGAGTGTCCTATTAACCATGGGCAAAGAATCTAGTAACGGCCGCCAGTGTGTCATGAATCCTAGGCTGTCGAATACCCTAGAAATTACAAATATATCTATACCTATAATCTAGTAAATTCTACTTTATCAGAGAAAGGAGAGTTATCGCGTGTATTCTAGATTATACATGAATGGATTCACGGCTATATAAAGAAAGCTGGTATTTGGAAGCTTTAAGTTTAAGTTTGACTGTGATACGATTTAAATAGTGATTATTGTTAAGAGTTGTGAAGAGTTTAGTTGTTGCGTAAGTTATTAAAGTAATTAGTGTAAGAGTGTATAGTTACGTGGAATAAATTATTGCTGTGTTAATTGGACTTTGATTTTGGAATAAACGAAACCGATCCAAGATTTCTGTCACGCACTCCAGAGCCGTGACAATATTATAGCTAACGCAAACTTGAACTAATTGAGGGGCATTAGGATCTGGGCCCATTAGGAAGAAAACCTGAGAAAGCAACTCACGCCTTGGTTTTTTCAATAAGAGGTTTGTATACTAACTGGAAGATACCTGTTGCATATTTCTTTTTCTGTCATTCTACAAAGCACAATGTACTGAAGAATTTAATTAGGTACGTAATTGATGAAATCCCAAGCATAGGTATTCTTCCTAAAATTTTAGTATGTGACCAAGGCAGTAATAATAGGGCCGCTTACAAGTCTTTGGGGAATTGCGAAGATAATTCATTTTTTTATTCAAATAACCAAAAAATATATGCAATCTATGATGTCTCGCATCTATTCAAAAATGTTCGGAACAACTGGCTTAATGGGATTTTCAAGTTAGATTCAAAAATATTTAATTTTGATATTTTCATGAAAACTGTTGAAATTGACAAGCGATCTGAAACAGCGAGAGTACTTCCAAAAATATCTGACAGGTACCTTACTCCAGATGGTAAGAGAAAAAGAAGATCCCTGAGTACAAGTTCGAGAAATGGAATATAACTCAAATTCGTAGAATCCAGTTCTAGTCAAACAGCATCCATACACAATAGGAATGTTCACAAAATTAAAAAAATCCGTTTAACCATCATCAAATTATTAAGCATCGTTTCATAAGTAAATCTACAAAATTTTACGAAAATCAGAAAATTCTTTCTATGAGAAAAAAGGAGACGAAATATTGATATCCGTTTAAACGCACGAAACGCTGTCTGACGTCAAAATGCGTAATGAGTTAGCACGCGCAAGTACAGTGGCGTTAGTAGCTACTTGGATCAGCCTCTTGTGACGTTGCTTTTGCGATTTTTGTTGGCAATAAAGAATATTGATATTAATATTATTGGTATTATTATTATGATTCGGTTTTAATTTAACGAGAGAGTCTGTTTAACGTTTAACAAGTATTTTGATATTGCTGCTATCTCCTTCATGTCGATCTCCTTGTTATAGGGCTTATCGACATTAAGGTAGACAAGGTACTTTGGCTAAAATGAAGGAAGGTTTCAAAAGGCCGATTCACATAATCTGCCAACTGTGGACGTTATCTACTATTTTTTGTTTATTTCGTTATCTACTATGGTATCAGAATGTTTGGTCAAGTGTCGACTTGAATCAGCGTCTTCACGCAACGATTTGCGTGCGGAAAGTAGCTCATTTTCGCACCTCGTAGAAAAACACGCACGTAGATACCACTCTTTTCGACTCGGTTCAACTTTGTTTGAGTCTCCCATCATTACACAAACACAGATAATTGGAGTGAATGAAGCTTCTTGGGATAAAGCAACAGTCAGCAACACAATAAATCCAATGTAAACTTGTAAACAAATCTCGCCAACGCGCCAGCTGATTTTTCGCTCCGCACAGTGACGTCACAAGTGGTACTCTCGCCGTAGGGGGTCGTTTTGCTAGCCTCGCTAATTTCGTATTTTTGTTTTCCATTTATTAGAAAAAATAAAGGGTTTCTAGATGTTTTAACGCCTAATACGTGTTTTGTGGACTAAAACCACCACTTTTCATTACAATCGAAAAATGGTGAACATCCCTATTACACAGACGAGAAACCTTAATGCGAGAAACACATAGAAACAATGATGATAACAACAATGTATAATGTATCAGATGAAGGTAGGTAAGCTTAACAAATAACTTCAAATAAGTTTTTTTTTTTTTTTTTTTTCGGTTATAATGATAATCACAATTAGTTTATACAGCTTTCAGAAAAACCGTTTTGGAGGAGCTTCCCTAGTGAATATCAAATTGGATGGTCTCATGGGTAGAATGTTAGAGATGACTAAAGTACTTAGCCTTAACTCACCCACCACTTTAATGACAGTCACTAATGAAAATTTGGAAGAATTTCATGAAAAAATCCCAATAAAAAGTGGAGACAAATTGGAAATGTTTGAGCAATGGCTAAGCTTGAAAGAGGAAAATTATAAGATAATGGTAAGATTTTAATAAATAATAAACATGTGCTTAGCATGCTTCTATACGGATTGGTCTCAAACACATAAAAAAATAATTTCTACTTTGGGGGTCCTTAGTGGGATAGAACAGGAAACAAGTTCGTGCTTAGAGCAGAACTTTTCTGGCTTCATTGATATGTTTCTGCTTTGTAGGTTGTGGAGCTTACTCGTATTGGAGGATCGGGCCTAGCGCAATCAGTAAGAAAATTTTTACACCGGACATTAAGTAATGAAACAGCTGGAAACTACTCCTGGGATGGAGCAAAACAAAAGCGAGCATTAAGAAATTTACGTTTGGCAAAGGGTATTGTAGGTGAGTATTCTAGGCAAAACACAAACACATTAATTTTAAGTTTGTAAATTTTTTCTAGGAACTCTCATGACGCAGTACAGAACCCGAAATAATTAATATTATAAAAGTATGACTTGTCAAGGCTAAGGAAAGAATCAAAAATAGAAATAAGAAAGAGGTAGGTTAATTATCTTATCATAAACTAGAAATAAAATTGTCAACTGTATAATATTATTTCTTTTAGACTACGCAAGAAAATTCAGAAGCAGAGAATAATTAAAGTAATAATTTTAAAATATTTAGGTATATGTATAGGTTATGGAAAACAGATTTTTTTTTTGAATAGCAGTTCGAATACATGTTTTTTTTTTATATTTATATATGTATACAGAGTGTCCGTTTTGAGGGCAACCATTGGGATCTTAGAAACGGTAATAGTATTATTGATTCTACTAATACAGAAACAGGTTCGGTGGAATTGGGGCAAATTTGCGATATTTTTTGCTTAACAAACTGCCCCTTCGAAACTTGAAAGATTTCCGATTCTTGGAATTCACTCGAAAAGTACAAAAGACATTTTGCAAAATTGTTTTTATTGTTGTTTTATAAATTTCAAAGTGGAATTTGGCTTAGCAGGAAATTCCGTAGCTTTGTCCCAATTCAACTGAACTTGTATCTCTTACCATTTTGGGGATCCCAATAGTTGTCCCTCTAAAAACGGAAACCCTGTTTAATTTATCACTTATTAAAAAGAATGTATTTTATTTTTTTTTGTGGAAATACAAAATAGGTTTGAAATAATCATGTTGTGTTTTATTGTATTCTAGTGAAAATATAGAAGCGGTTTTAAAAGATAATAATTGCTCAAATTATTACAAAAATTCTGACATTTTAGGATACCAACGTTTCTGAAATGAGGGATTCCAATTCTCCAGGAGACTCAAAAATTAAAATTAAACATTTCGTGATTAACATTCTCTCGGAGATTAAATTTTTAAACGGAATTTTTGATCATGGATTAAATTCAAAGTTGCTGTCAAATGATAGTTTATAAAAATCTCAGGCAAGAATGTAAGATCGGATTTCCTCTAAAATTAACCGTTTAGGTTTTACAGCCTATCAAAGTAGCAAAAAAATCAATTTTTACCTGTCAATATTTCCAAAACAGTTGAACTTCGGGATTAAAATTTAGTACCAAAATGTATGGAATCAAAAGCCCTCCAAAATGATGTATTACTTGACCCCCCTTCCCATTTGAGATTTTCTAGAAGGTGGCTCTGGGGGCTGGGGGGCTGAGACGGAGGAGGTGAATTTTGCATAAAAATGTTCCCTTCAAATTATAGTTGGGGGATTTTTCAGAAAATTTTCAACTGCAAGATAATAGGGGTGGTAAGTTTTAAAATGAACACCCTGTATACATTTCACATAATAGTATTTGCCAAGAATATTATATAAACGTTCGGAGAAAGTATTTTGAATACAAATGTCTTGTTCTTTTATTCTGTTCTTTTTAAGTATTTAAAGTGTATAAACAATGTGAAAAGTTTGTACTAAGAATATTTGAACAAATTTTAGAAGATTCATTGCAAATATTTTGAATATTCATTTTTAGGAATGTATTACTAATGTGAAAAAAAGATTCATGATATGTATTCTGAACATGTAGTTCTAGTTCTTTTCCAAGAACATCCGATGCACATGTAATGAATATTTTGTGGGATATGCCTAGCACCTCCTAAGAATCTAAATAGTGCGGACTCCAGCCTTTACTATGAAGATTCCCTGAATATAAGTAATAAAAAAACGGAATGTGCATCACACATGTGTTATGTTAAAAGGTCTGTAACAATATGAAATTGTTTTCTGGGATGTCTTCGACTCGGGTCTTTCTGCTCATAATGCTGTTATCGCCAAGAAACCAATGCGCTCACTTACATCATCTGAGGCTAAAAGCTTTGGAAAAATTTATAGTTTCCGCAACTTTTCCAGCTTTCACGCTGCCTGTGAGAATTTCAATTGGGCTTTTACTCTTCAGGCTGGCTTGCGCGCGGCTTTGGTCGACATTGTTAATGTTACCTTCCCTGTGCGCAAGTTAAGGTCGAAACGCAAAGACCACAAAAAATGGTTAACACTGGGAATCTGCACTTCCGCTTCCAATATAAGTTTCTGAACAGCCTCAGAAAAGCTTACACTTACAACCCATGGATTCAGTCGTACTATTCAATATACAGGAAAATCTATAGAGTGATCATTTTGTAAGGCAAAAATCCTTTATTATTCTAAACGCCTTACAAACTCTCATAACAAGCAACGTGAATCATGGGCAATCGTGAACGAAATTAGTAATAAAATCGAAAAAACATCATCAAAGATCAACATTGACGGAAATCCCCTTAATAGTTATTATATTTTCCATGAGCAACATCATAGCTCTCCTATCTTTCTGCTATTAACATTCCTGAATCTATGGATATATTTGTTCTCATTTAATCATTCTCTCAAATGATTAACTCAATGAAGAACAAGAGAGCAGCAAATGACGATGGTATCCCTGTCAAGATATTGTACTCGCTACCGCTTACCGCAATCTCAGTTCTCTCCAATGTTATCAATGTATCCTTCCTGTCTGGGTCCGTTCCAACTTGTTTTAAATCTGTTAAAATTATTCTTTTATACAAAGGAGGTGATCACAACTGCCCTTCGAACTACAGGCCAACTTCCCTGCTGTCCACTATTTCTAAACTTGTTGAATGTCTGGTTAAGCATAGTGTTTTATCATTTTTAAACCAACACAACATTTTAAATGTTAACCAATATGGCTTCCAGACTAACAAGAATACATCGGACGCAATGTTTAACTTTTTGTCGGGGGTGTTCGGGGCTCTAAACGGAGGAGATGCTTCCGCTGCGGTATCTTGTGAGTTATCTAAGGCATTCGATGTATGAGTCATGAGATTCTGTTGCGAAAGCTTCGCGCCTACGGCTTTCTAGGGGAGGCTCTCTCATGATTTGAGAGCTATCTTAGAGATCGTGTCCAATCTGTTCTTCTGAATGGTGCGTCATCTGTTGAAAAAAAGGTTTCATGCAGAGTTCCACAAGGATCAGTGTTGGGCCCAGTTCTTTTTTAATTTATATTAATGATCTCAGCCAACTAGATATTACACGGCACTTTACTTTGTTCGCGGACGATACCACCGTACTATGGAGAAACAAGAACCCGAGTCATCTCCTCCACGACATTTCATCCGATCTTAAAAAAATTAAGTACTGGTGCGATGCATATCTGTCTGAGCATGTCAAAGACGCATCTCATTGGCTTCAATTGCACGGTGGATGATCTGGCTTTGGACAATGAGTCAGTGAGTTCTGTTGAAAAATCGAAATTCTTGGGCCTATTCATTGATGAAGATCTAGAATTCTACCTACATATAATAGCGCTTAACAAACAACTATCATCTGGTTGTTACTCAATTTGGTCAACTTATCAAGAACTTGGAAAGGAGGTCGCTCTCAGTGTCTATTTCGCATTGGTAGAGTCCCATCTAAGATATGCTTTTCCTTTCTGGGGTGCATGCTCCAATTACCTCTTCCAATCTGTTTTTGTTCTCCAGAAACGAGTAGTCAGAAATGTATCCAATGCACATCCGAGAACTCACTGCAAGTCGCTCTTCATCGCATACAAAATCCTCATTCTTTCTTCACTATTCATTTTGGAGAATGCATGTCTCATTCATGAACAGAAGCATAAATTTCCAACACATTAACAAAGGCATGCTACACGTAAAGTTAATCAAATTCCACTTCCAATACCACATTTAACCCTTGTCAAGAATTCACTCATTAACAATGGTGTTAAGATTTACGACCGCATTGATCTGCAAATTAGAAATGATGATGATCGTAAACTTTTTCGCACATGTTCTAAGAGCTTTTTAAATAAAAAAGCATATTACTCTACTGATGAGTTTCTAATGGATCCAAGCAAAGACAATACTACTACGAAATTAACAGTTTTCTGCTTAAAATATTACGTTTGCTACCGCGGGCCAGCGCCATCTATAGCGACATTGTTCAACTGGAAGCCGTTTGCGACCAACGGCTTCTTTTAGGGGCCTCACTATTTTTACATTCGACGGGACATCTATTCGTAGTAATATTGTCTTTGATCCAAGTTATTTTTTTGGTGGGTTAAATTTTTTAATTATTATTATTATTTTTTTATTGTTACTTCTTTTGACAAGTTCTTTGAACATAGTAGATACGTATTGTATTTATATTTTATTTTTTTATTTTTTTTTTGTGTTTTTGTTTGTTCCTAGATGTACCTACACGGTACACACTGCAGATGTCTGCTGAAAAATATTTATTGACGATTTGAAAAAAAAAAATAATAAAAATTATTTCATTTCAATTTAATGTTTATTCAACTTAGTTTAGATAGCTTTGTCAATAAGAACGTACTTGTTTTTGGACAATAAAGCACTTTTTCATTTCAATTCAATTCAATTGTTTGTGATTGGAGAAGAAAAATGTAAGCAGCGATTTCCAGCATGTCAATCTCTGATATAATTATCAGAATTTTGAGCTGGCAGAGATTGGCTTTTTGACTAATTCTCAGATAATACATTATACTCGACATAATATTTAAGTGATGGAATTTTTGATACTTATGTTTTTTTTTTTCAAATTTCACTTCAATCAATAATTGTTTTAAACTCCAAATATTGAAAACACTTTTTACACACTTTTTTCAGAATCAATTTCACCTTTTGTTTTGCTCTATCATAACAATCTAAAATAACCTCAAGAATATAAAATGTATTTGGCAAAATTTTATAGTTTCTCTACGAGCATGCGTAAAACTGCATTTTAAACAGTGCGTAAAACTGCATTTTAAACAGTGCGGAAAATCGATTTTCCCGCACAATGCGGCAAAATATTTTCCGTAAAGCTGTCAAAAAAAAAATAATAATGATAAATTTCCACAAATTATGTAAATATACTTATTTCCGCACGTCTGT